GGGGGGGGGGTCCCTGCGGCCTCTCGACAGGGCTCCACGGTCCCCCCATGAATGACCCGGGAGCTGAGCCTGTTCATCCCTTCAGACCAGGGTTGGGCTTCCGCGGCCGCCAGGCAGGCCCGGGGCCGGCCGAGCGGAGCAGCCCGCGGACTGGGGTGACTAAGCAGAGCCGCGGGCAAGGACCAGGCCCAACCCCCCTGGGTTCGCTCCGCAGCGGCGGGGGAAGCGGGCCAGGCCTCCCCCGTTCCCTCCACGGGCCGGTCTGGGCCTCACCGTACACCTGCAATCTGGCGCCGATGGCTCCTCAGGCCTGACTGCGGCGGCAGCGGCGGCTTTTATGGGGGCGGGGCGGGAAGAAAGGACCCCAACGAGCGCTGCCTCACAGAGCGCCGGGGCTGCCCGCGCAGGTCGCCTGAGCGCTCGAGTTAGGGAAGTGCGAGAAGCAGCGCTTCTGAAAGGAAATGGGGGGGTGGAAGGTGGGGGGAGGGTTTTCGAAAGGTAAACATTGGGGGCGGGGGACTGCAGGAGCCGCGGGGTCCTTCAGGCAGAGGGCGTCCGCGGCGGAGACGCCGCTTGGGAACAGCGGCCACCGCCTCAGGAGGGCGGGGGCGCGTCTTCATATGGGTGGGTTTTCATCCGACAAACACGACCCTTTGCTTCCACCCTTGGAAGCAGCGCATGCAAAGCATGAGAGCCCAGCTCCCACAAGGACCAGGGCAGTATAAAAAGATGCTATTTGCTGTCATGATCCCATTGCACGCCTGACTCCTGCAGGAGAAAGCGGAACGCAAACTCGACCTGCCCTGCCTTCAACTCCGGCGTTTCCTCCGAAGGAGTGAAATGACCCTGTAGTACATTGGCGGGAAGGTGGCTCAAAATAAAGACGGCTATTGAGGGGGTTGGTGGGGGGAATGACTGCTGAAGGGCAAGGATCACTTGGCCAAGCAATGGTTAAATTTAAAGCTGCACCGACAGCTAGAATCGCGTGTGTTAATGCGTAAATTACATTAGAAAGGGAGATGCCACCTCTCTACTGCAGTGCATGATTTCTGAGGAAAGATTGGCCCAGTGCCCTCCCTCACAAATAAAATTTCCAAGTGCTGTTTGGCACAGGTCTGTATTTCAGTGGCTGACGGAGAAACCCTGAATTATTTTCAAGGCCCAGGTAGGGGCCCTGATTGTGAGCCAAAACACTAAAATGCAAGATGCAAGAAACTTTACAGTGAGGGAAAGTTAAAAGGCAATATATACATTTAATATAATTTCAGTTTCTTTAGCATTTCAGACAAACGCAGTGAAATCTTTGGCAACTACCCAGTAGACCAGCAAATGTGGTCTCTAATGTCAAATACAGGCATACCTTGTTTTATTGCATTTATCGCGCTTCGCAGATACTGCATTTTTTACAAGTTGAAGGTTTGTGGCAACTCTGCGTCGAGCAAGTCTATCGGCGCCATTTTTCCAACAGCATTTGCTCACTTCGTGTCTGTCACATTTTGGTAATTCTCGCAATATTTCAAACTTTTTCATTAGTATTATATTTGTTATGGTGATCTGTGATCTTTGATGTTACTATTGTAATTGTTTTGGGGCACCACGAACCGCGCCCATATAAGACGGCGAACTTAATCGATAAATGTTGCGCGTGTTCTGACTGCTCCATCGACTGGCCGTTCCCCCGTCTCTCTCCCTCTCTTCGGGTCTCCCTATTCCCGGAGACACAACAATATTGAAATTAGGC